CTCCAAAAACCAATGCAACAACAACCTGTCTCAAAACAAACGTGAGCCCTTACCACAATGGTAAGACTCTTACAATCCATCTGTGAATCTAAGGGTGACACTACAAGTGACACTAACAATGCAATGCTCTCTCTACCCGTAGCATCTATTAATCGACTTGATCCCAAAAGTGTCATCGCGCAAGGAGAACTCAAAGAAAATGACAACTATAGCCATACCAATAACAACCAAATCAATCACCACGAATGATCTCCAAAACAACCATCATCATCATCGATCAAAAAGACAACGCCTATCAAAATGAAAACCAACCCTGATTCCATCTGAACTACACTTGTAGCTAGCCAGTACAGTAGCATGACAGTGCCATGCACCCACCTACAAACGTACCCGCCCACGAAAATTGCAATCCCAAAGGAACCTTCCAAAATAACCAAGGATCCCAAAAGGTCCAAAACCTAACGATGGCCTAAAATCAACAAATCCAGTACTACGGTTGTGCCTAATTGCTCACCCCACGAGAGCCTAAACAAAAGGTGTCTCTCTACCTACCTCAAAACCAACTCTAGGTCAACAACAACTTAAACTACAATACAACCGTGACTACAATCACCATCAACCTCAACTTGAGCCTCAATGACTAATCTCGTGTCATGCCAAATATGCAACACAGTTATGTATATACAAATCTGAACTAGAATACATCATATATTATGCTCTTTACATAATAATTAAATCATGCTAAACAAACGGCATACCACATGTAGCATGTAAGCACATAAATATGTTATCAAACCAAAACATGTTATCATGAAGCATATAAACATATAGAGCATGGCAACATAAGCATGATATGCACCCAAAACCCGTCGTCCAAGGTATTCAAACCTAGGAGCTCTGATACCACTTGTAACGATCCAGATTTCTCAACCCGGTGCGTTAGTGATGAACCAGAAGTTGACCCGATAACGGACCTGAAATGCGGAAGCCAAAGAAGCCAAATGACCTCAAGAGATGTACGTCATCCCTAAGGCCCCAAAATGACTCTCCATGAAGCCACGGAACTCAAATGAGCAAGCAAATGAAGCAAGAATGCATAACCCGAAAATAGATGAACTAAGGGCAAAATGGTCATTTCTCACTGAAAAGGGTGCCACCGTGCACACCATTGGAAGGACAGCGAAAAATGAACAAAATTAGATTCAAGAATCGTCTGATTCTGAGTCCGGGCAGAAAAGATATGAAATTCCAACACCCGATGCGAAAGTTATGAAGCAATGACTTAATATTTTCCAATATTTTCATAATAAACTTTGAAAACAAAAGTGCATAGAAAATGAGATACATGTCATTGGCCTCCGGCCTCATCTCATACATGTTAAATACATTGAAAAGAGTGCACTTACAAACACTTTACATATACGAATCAACGAATACAAGTTTAAACAAATAAGGCTACAAAGAGGCATCTTATGCTAACACTTGCATAAAATAGAAACATAGAAACTGTAAGCCATCCAAGGAGTAATGGAATCTTCAAATCCTGAGTCCTGTACCTGAAATATGCCCTAGTATCATAGGGGTGAGTAACACAAAGCTACTGTAGGAGATAAGCATGCATCGACCTAGCAATTTTACAATTTTATCACCTTATGGTGAAACATGTTAAAATGGCTCATGCCACATAACGTCTATGTCAAGATGAGACCCAGGGAGCATCCTAAGCTACCTAGATCATTTCTATCATAATCACATTGTTCATGCAATTCAAACAACATGGAAACATGTTATACAAGGCAACAAGTTATAGATTCTCAAAGTCTTCAACTTGAAATCCAAAATACGAAAATAACAAGTGTGGGTCATACCACCTAACGTCTATATTCAAAATGAATCTATAAGGTCATTCCTAAACTACATTTGAACATCAAAACACAAATTATGATATCGATGCAATTTAACCAACAATGGAACTTCTAATACAATGCATGAAGCATGCTTTCATAAAGCTACATCTTAAGCTCAAAATAGGAAATCAAATAAGGAACAACAAGTTACGATATCATCTAGTTACCAACTTGAAATGAAATACGAAATCAAACAAAGTGGATACTCGGACGTCACGCCGGATCAGACCGACAACATAGTTACTTTAGGGTTACTAGCCCATGGGTAACCTCCCTATGTGCACACTAGACTATATAAAGGGACAATCCCCCGTACTAGAACCAAGTCCTAACCGTAGCCAAACAACGACATCCCCAAGTTTTCAAAATCAACAAATTGTGCAACAACGTATATATATCAACATGTATATACAAGATATCAACTATTTACCAAGCACAATCTAAATTTTGGAAACTTATACAATACATACTCAAAATTCACAACTACTATGGCATGTAAGATGTCAAATACAAAGTGTGCAATTCCTTACACATAGCAACAATATATTCAATAAGGAAAAACATATTCTCATGAATATAAAAGTAACAACTATATTATCCAATGCTCAAAAGTAATCAAGTGAACATACATCAAATCTAAATCCATGATTTAAATATAAAAATAACTTCTAAAATGCAATTAAATCCAGGGAGTAATAAAGTAGAATTTAATTAAACATAAATAGTTAAATTCTCTAAAATCCAAGTTAATCCATATAACCTCAATTTAATATATATTGAAAGACATGTCATGGTCATCATATATATAACATCAAATGACAAGTTAAGTGATTAAAACACTTAAGACAAAATTAATCAAGCTAATTAATTAATTTTCTCTAGATTCCTAAACAATTCCAAATGCCCTCAATTTAATCTATGTTAGAGAACATGCCAAGGCCTATTTAAATGCCACGTTACAACTTGATTTAATGCTTGATATAACCATGTGAATTAAACTTTCACTAAAGATAAATATTAAATAAAAGTTGTAATTCTTAAGAAAATGATCCAAATTTAATATATGTTAACCAACATATCTAAGCATAATTTCCTAGCATGTTACAATTCAAATCAAAGTTATATATCATCATAAATTTTAAATCTTATACAAAGAAATAAAAATTACTAGCTTTCTAGATTTGATACAAGGTATACATATATGTTGTATAATCATGACAAACACACAATACAACACACAAATAATCCTAAAACATTCCCTACCTCAATTGGAATGAAAATCCCAATTACCACCGAAATGAAATCGCTCCAAATTTTCGGTCCGCAAAACAGATTTTTCAGCTTGCTACCTTCAACTTGTAAAATTCATAAAAAATTCAATTTTAAACCAAATTGAATGAATCCAAAGCCCAATGAAAGCTTAAACACTGTAATTTGGTAATATTAATTTAGTTTAACAAAATATTTTCCCAATTGAAACAGTTTTGACCTACAACTTTGAAACAAATTCTGCCCAGAAAACACATTTTCAGCCTGTAGCTTCCAACTTTGAAAATTCATGAAAAATTCATTTGACATCCAAATTGGGAAAACCTAATTTATTTTGGAAGTAAACATATGAGAGTGTAAAACTGGAAATTTAATCCATGATCCAATGTCAAAAGGCTAGTGAAATAAATCATCTAAAAATTTGTTTTTCAGCTGCAATAAAAACATGGACAGCAGATAGTTTCGGATTTTTAAAAAATTTTAGAAATGCTTTAAAATCATGAAAAAATTCTGAGTAATGTAAAACCCATTGGAGAAGTTCCAGTAAAAAAATCAAGGCAATTAAAGGACCACAGCTCTGTATAAAAATTCATTTCCGGACCAAAAAAGAAAAGCTTCAAATTTCCAATAACTAGCTTGCAACTTCAAAAATTCATAACTAATTCATTTTAAATCCAAATTACATGAAACCAAAGCTAAATGAAAGATAATTGAGTATTTTTTCATATTCTATATTTAATTTGACAAGATTAATTTCAAGTTAAAACAGTTTAAGGGTAAAATACAAGTCCTTCTCTTCCATGCATGTAAAACACTCAATAATGACATAAAAATACTTCAAAATAATAGATCAATACCTCACTAGAGAATTGAATCTCTAGATACCAAAGCAAAATTAGGAGTTAGGCTAGATCCTTTAAGGGTTTTGAAGAGGAGGATGAGGAGAAGAAAAAGTATTCCAAGCTTTATGGTCTAAAGTAAGTAGAAGGGTCTCAAAGATCAAGGTCAATACCTAAGGCTTCAAGCTCCATCCGTGGAGGCTAGGGTTTTCTTGTAAGGAAGATAATGAAATAATATGGTTAAGTGTGGGTGGAGGAAATAGAAATCCTCCACTCACTATGTGCTCTTACACCATGGTCAACACACACATCTATGGTCAATTGTACAAAAACCCTCCTTCAAAACCATAATCCCAAAGTGGCCCAAAGATATTTGCAAGACTAAATTGTGAACCTGCACTTGTCACCAATCCATGGCTCCTTCCTAGGCTTAATCCCACACCTACACTTGTCAACCATCCAAGCGAACAAGTGCACTAATCCTAGGCCAACAAGTGTGTGAGGACCTGCATTTTTATCTTTTTTTCGAACATTTTAGCATTCATGCATTTTTTTTTTATTGTCAAAAATATGATTATTTTGCAAATGTGAATTAAACATCATTATGTGTTAAGAAATATTATATACTATATTATGCAAATAACATATTCGTCAATTAGTATTTCATAAAGGGCATTATGGACTTTTTGTTTTGCAAATGGAATACATGGTATTTGATAATTTGATCAAGGGCAAAGTAGACTTTTACTATGCAAAATAGCATAATTGGCATTTGGTTGGTTGTGAAAGGGTATTCTTGACTTTTATCATGCAAATGGCATGAATGGTATTTAGTAGGAAATAAAAGGACTTTTGAGTCATTTCTTATGATTTTGGTTTTAATCCATGGAGGGGATGACATGTGTAGGTGTATGTGGTTGCACCATATCCATTCATTTTATAACATATAGTATGCCTAGTGTTTTGTTCTTAGAAACCATTTGGCAAAACCCAATTTTCGTGCATTCTATTTCCTTTCCATAGTGATACCTTTTAAGCTAAATTTTGGAAGCTTTGTGTTGGGATTTTGATGGGGCTTTGTGAAGGAAAAATGTTCCTTAGATAGTGAGGGTTTTTTTGATATCAAACTTGAGTCCATTTCTTTTGTTGCTGGGTTTGGAAAGTGGTGTTAAAAGAAGAGGGTTTTGGTTGCAAACAAAGAAGGAAAGTGTTCTTCACCTTCTAGTTGCTGATTTTGATCCATTTTTTGTGTGGTTTTGAATTGTTGAGCAAGTGTTCAAGCTTCCCTTCAGGTAGGATTGTCTAACCCTCAATTCCTTTGCCTTTAGTGAGTTATCTCTTTCAATTTGAGTTGCAAAGTGTATAAACAACCTAAACTGATGCTGAAACTACTTGGCTGAAATTGTAAGCTTTCATTAGGCTTTGGACTCACTCAATTTGACTTAGAATTGAATTTCTTATGAATTTTCAAAGATGGAAGCTACAGGCTGGAAATCAGTTTCTGGCAGATTTTAGTTCGAACTTTTGGGTCAAACTGTTCCAATTGGGAAGGGATTTTGTTAAACTAAATTAACACTTTCAAAGTACATTGTTTAAGCTTTCATTAGGCTTTAGAATCACTCAATTTGACTTATAATTGAATTTGTTATGAATTTTCAAAGATGGAAGTAAAATGCTGCATGTGAATTGTTTACTGTTTAGAAACTTCGGAACATGACACAAATGTGCATTCATCTTGCATGGTCATGGGGTTAAGGTTAGAATGGAAAAAGGAAGTGAAAGTTCAATAAAATGATTTTGAAAACCGGATAACAGGGAGGTGCCTTGTATCCGTGAGTTAGGAAAGTGGGATTGATTCAATGATTTCAAAACCGGAGAAGGAGTTGCCTTGTCTGTGCAGTTAATGGAAATCTAAAGAAGACGTAGGAGTTGCCTACACATAATTGTGTCACTAGGCCCCAAATGATTACAAGGAGTTGCCTTGGATCAGGGATAAATGATCAATTCTCTTCTCGTGGTACAGGGAGCAGCTCTGGCAGGATTACATTAACTTTTTGTGATGGAAATTGGATTTTTGGGAAGTGAGAAGTGTCTGTGGCATTAGCATTAGCATCCGCATTGTATGGCACTTCATTTTATTATTCTACATGATATTATTTCTTTCTCAAGTTTTTATGATCCCATTATCCTTTGTCTATTCTTTGTTTGGATTCACGGAGGTATTAAGGAGTGCGCTTTAGGCAATTCCTACTGAGCTGTGGTTACTCATTCCTATTTTATTCACATCTTTTTAGGTCATAGCATGGATGGTGTGGAGGGTGTTCCTCCTCAGCTGTAGACAGAGTCGGGGCTGGTGTTATTGTGTTATATTCCGCATAATAAACTATGTTTTGTATTATATTTCCTAGAATTTTCCTGGCATGTAATAAATTTTCTTTCAGACTTTAAAACTTTAAAGTTTTAATATTTGCATCTTATCTATTTATTTTCAGTTTTGATTTTATAAAGAGAAATAGATAGGTGGATGTGTGGTTCAGACAGGTTACAGGGATATTCAGTGATTTTGAGACTGTGATTATTTGTGTGTCGTGTTCACAATCTGGACTACGGTCTAGGGGCATGACAAAGTGGGTGAATCCTCACCCTCCAAATGTCATCATCTAATGCATTAAAGTGTTTCCACACAAATGTCAACAAGTGGACCAATGAGAGTGTGACACTTGTCACACTTTTTCAAAAATTACAAAAATGTCCTTTTTGAAAATATCTTCCAAATTTAATTGTAAAATGGTCCCCAAGATGAAAAATAATTACTTTATTTAATTACACTAAAACCCCACAAGTTAAGAATAATTACACTAAAGTATGCATTAATGCCCTTTTATGAAAGAAATAAGCAATCAACATGCTTTTCTAGAAAAGTAAAAATACCACTATCATGGAAATCAAATATCATGAATGCATGCAAAACCAGAATCAAATCCAAGCACAAAAAGTGAGGTTGTGCAAGGAAAAAGGATAAACGAGAAAAAGATAAAATGTAAATAGTGTTCGGAAAAATAAAATATAGAAATGACACAATCCCTAAAGGAAGTTGTCAATCTAAGGAAAAGAATCTTGGAAATCATTCCAGAGCACTCGAGACGACATCAAGTGATGAAAAACCAAACCCAAAAAGGAAAAGACAATGGAAAAAAAATATCCATTAAAATCTGAGAAAAAGAAAAGGAAGAAAAATGATCGGGTCATTATACCGTTTATCATTTTTCCTTGCATAACCTCACTTGTTGTGCTCGAATTTGATTCTGGTTTTGCATGATATTTGATTTTCATGACATTTGTATTTTTACTTTTGTAGAAAATACATTCTAGTTGCTTACTTTTTTATAAAGGGCATGGGTGCATACTTTATTATAATTATTCTTTATTTTTGCGGTTTTAGTGTAATTATGAAAAATAATTATTTTTCGTCTTAGGGACCTTTTTACAATTTAATTTGGAAGATATTTTAAAAAATGACATTTTTTTGCAATTTTTGAAAAATTTGACAAGTGTCACATTCTCATAGAGCCACTTGTTGGCATTGGGGTGGAGTGATTTGGATGCATAATCTCTTGACATTTGGAGGGTGGAGATTCACCCACATGTTAGCCTAGGATTGGTGCACTTGTTAACTTAGATGGTTGACAAGTGTAGGTGTAAGATTAAGCGTAGGAAGGAGCCATTGATTTGTGACAAGCGTAGGCACCAAAATAAGTCTTACATTGTGTGTGTGTGAGAGGCAGTGTAATAACACATAGTGAGTGGAGGATTTCTAGACCTTCCACTCACTATTTTACACTTTATCCTTTTTATTTCATTTATTCTTCATGTGACAACCCGGATTTTTAAGTGCTGAAATTTAATTCATGACTTTTAAATTGTCATAGTTGATAATTTAATTTTTTATTTTATTTTATTTGAAGACTTACCCAATTTAAATATTTATTGGATTTAAATTATGGTCACAAGGTATGCACTTGTATATATATATTTGTGATATATATATTAAGTTTGATTGAGTATTTACTTTAAATTGGAGTTTTACCAATTAGAAATTGGGTCATTGGTTATTGAATTGGAGATTTACCTAAGAGTTTTGGTGATTGAATTAATTTTAATTAGATATTTTGGGTTGTTTTAGTTGTTGCACATTATTATTATTATTATTATTATTATTATTATATATATATATATATATATATATAAAATATTTGTGGAGGAATAAAGAATGGACAGTGGACGAAATTCACAAAGAGAAAAGATTGAAATTATAATGTTGTTTTGGGTCGGGTCCTACTTGGATGATATTAATGGTTGATTTTGTTACATTGAATATATATATGATTTCTATATATATATATATATGTAATCTGTTGTGATAGGAAAGCAAAGGAGATGCACCAAGCGTGGGCCAAGAAGAGAAAATGGGTATTTGATTTGCTTTAAGTTCATTTGGATACATGACATTTATGTTTATATTTTTATTGATCTGATGGAAGGGAGCACAGGCCGAATGAGAGAGAGAGCAAATTGGTTTATTTTGCTACATTATATATATATATATATATATATATATATATATATTTTTGTATCATCACATGCGGCCAACGAAAATGAAAGAATGAAGCAAAATGAGAAATGGAAATGGTAACATGATTAGGTGGGATCCACTGAGAGACTAATTAGAAAATTTTCTTTTTTCTTTGGATGTGCACGTGGGTTTGCCTATTGGTATGGATAGATAATATTTGTTAGGTGGAAGAAGATAAGGTAAAGTAAATGGTGACTTACCTTTTTGTACTACTTTTGACTAAGACATAACTTGTTTCTTTTAGAGATTTTGAGGATGATGATATTAATGGTGTATTATTTTCCTAAGGGATTGCATATGCGGAAGTGGGTCCCATCAGTTGAATTTTTGAACTAAATTCGTTGTTCACGTGGGTTTTTTTTTATATTTTATGTGATAATGTTATACGACGAAAGTGAAGATAAGGAGTGGGTGGCGGGTCCACCATGACTTTTGATCTTTGATATTTATATTAGCATGGGGGAACAATACTGATATTTGTTAGTGTCGGTGGTGAATTTCCTTTATATATATATGTGTGGCTTTGGTGAGCATTTGAGAGAGAAAAAAATACAAAGACACAAATAGTGAGGAAAGACACGGACAGAGAGTGCCGAGATGGACAGAGTTGATGCTCAGATGATGAGGAAAAATAAATATTTGTTTTACAGAGTAGGAATTTTTATACCTTGATCGTTTGGGGGTGATTTTTAATATTTTGATAATGTTATCTTGTTAAAATTGTATATATGTATTTTATTTAAAAGCATATATATATTTTGTGAGACTAATTTTCATGAAATCCCTTTAAAATTCTTATTATGGTTTTCCTATTAAGACTTTTCCCGTCTCACCCCCTACAGTATCAGGTACCAAGGATAAGCTTGGATTGCTAGTTGTGGGTTTAGGTGGAAGAGTTGGTGTTGAGGATTATTTTATTTATTTATAGATTTTGTATGTATTTATTTGATGAAATTGATCTAGTATCAATTTAATTTATTTGGAGACATTGTATATTTTTAAATTAAGGAATTGATTCAATATCAATAAAGAAGTATTTATTTTACTTTTGAGATCCTGGGTGTGTATTTAAGTATTTTGATTTAATGAAATCGAGGATTTTATTTAGAAAAAATTCAAGCGTGACACTTCATAACCCTAAACCTAGCCACCATTGGAGGAAAGCTTCGTTAATAGCTTATCCCTTCATTTTGGTCTCCTTCCATTCACCTTAGACTTAAAATCTTGGGAGACAAAAGTTTCCTCTCACTCTTCATTAACCCTAAACTTGTTTTCCATTTTGAACTTGGTAGTTTGGATTATAGAGATTCAATTCTCTATTGAGGTAGGAGTGGTAGTTTGTTTATATTCTAAGTGTTTTATAATCCTTTGGGGTTTAATATATATTATGTACATGCTTTTAGAATTGTAGTATTGCATACTATAGGAAATCTTTATGATTGACCTAGGGTTTATTGATTTTAAGCATGTATGTTGTGTAAGTATCTTGTGTAGGATTATTAATGTTATATAGAACTCTTATTGATATGAATTACTATACTATTGTAATGTTAATCCTACATTCTAGTAAATTACTATTAGTAATTGTAATTATTTTAGAAGCTTAATACTATGATGTTGTAATCTTGTACATAAAGCTTATTATTGAGGTATGGTTTAAATTGATAAGTTGGTGATATTGTATTGCACATTATATCATGATGACTACTTGTCATTTATTATGTCATTTTAGACTTGGAAGCCCTAAGACATGGTTTATGTGGTTTCAAAATACTTGTGCATGGAAGGTGGTGTATATGCCTTAATAAGTATGTATGAGTTTTGAATTTGCTATATTTTGGATTATCTTGGGACATTGTTACAAGTGACATGGCTAAAGTTTGGCTCTAGTGCAGGAGGTATGAGTTCTCCCCATTTATAGTGCGCACTAGGGTGGTATTCCCAGCGGTTAGGTCTTGGCTTTATCTAAGACTTGATGTCCAAGTATTCACCTAATTGATTTCGTATTCTTTTCCAAGTTGACAACCAATGTTTAATTGTGACTTGTGATTTTGGTTATTGGCGAATTTATGTTGTTAAGTACATTGATATTGTTATTAGGTTTTGATGGAATCATTGCATTAGCTTAAGGTGATCCCTTAGAATACCTTGAACATAGACGTTAAGTGGGATGCTCCCTTGTATTCGTCTATATTGATCTTGCAATGATATTAAAACTTTAGGGTATACGCATATGCTTCTTTCTACAAGTAACTTTATTACTCACCCTAGTGGTTTGGGTTGTTTTATAAGTAAGGAGACAATGTTTTTGGATGCTCATCATCCTTAGAGGCTCATGAGCCATTTGAAGTATTTTTGTATATGGACTTGCACTTGTTTAGCATGCTTTATTTTTGGATAACATATTTTGTATACCATGGATGTATGGTATTTTAAAAGCTAATGTAGCTTTCTTAATGTGTAATGATACCTAAGTAATTACTTTTGACATTATAAGCATGTATGTAATGAAGCCAAGGGCCAAGCATATTTACTTTAGTACTTGTATTCATTTGGCATCGAACTTTTGCTTGAAATGTATTTTAAACAACTTTGGAGATTTGACTTATGAAAATCTTTGTAATTAGTATGAATGAGGCCATGAGCCATTGATTACATTCAATTTTTCATTTTAAGGTTGTTGACATGTTCATATACTCAAATCTCATTAAAAATCAGTTTTAAACTTTCATTTTTGAACCAAATCATCATGAGATCCAAAACATGGATTGAACCTTAACACCTTTGGCACCTAGCAGGCCTTACATCAACTTTTTGAGGTGTTTTGGATTTCAGTCGACCGATGGCTTTTGGAAGCTTCAATGC